GATCACGCGAAATCGTCAACAATCTAATCCAGCTACCTTACTTAGCGAGGTATGAAGAACGGACCCCTGGTCAGAGCTGTTATAAATAAATGCTGCAGGTTCATCCTGCAGAAGTACGCAGTGAGCGTCAATGGCTCCATTAAGACTGCAGACATGAACCCGGGGGCTCAATCGTGAGCCGCATGGAAAACTGGGACAGCTGTGAAGGACTGACTTTCTTCTTGTTTCTCAATATTGTTGTTATGAAGGAGGAAATGATCTATACACACCAAACAGTTTGTGTATCAGGATGTAAACCTTTTTATTTCCACTGCAAAGTTTTAATGCGAGTCTGTGTGGACTCACTGCTGGAGCTTCTGCTGGACGTGAGAGGAACTGCAGGATGTGGAGGTTGATGCTTGATTAAAGCACAAAGTTGACTGTTACGCCTACATTAATGTTGCGTGTCAAAAACGTTGGAATATTTGTTGGTAAATTTAAAAAAGAAGTAATTGAAGCTGGATATTTGCTTCAATCAAAGAGCTAAATCGAGTTTTCTGTGGCTGGTGTCTGAGGACGTCCATTAAAAACTGTCTGTTTTTCACCTCTGCTGCATCCGTTCCCATGAAGGATGGCGGCACGGCGATGCTGAACAGTGTGTTCTTGTGCTCAGGAGGGTGTAGGTGACACGCCGGACTCGTACGCTTACGACGGAAACAGAGTGAGAAAGTGGAACGTGACGACGACAAACTACGGAAAGGTGAGCGTGAACACAGACGCTGGAATCTGCCCCTCTGTTTCATCATGTGACCATAACGGCGTGTTTTCTCTCCCCAGTCGTGGGCAGCAGGAGACATCGTGAGCTGTCTGATAGACCTGGATGAAGGAACCATCACGTTCTGCCTGTGAGTCCCTCTGTCCTTTCCTTCCCTCCTTTCCTCCGTTTGGTCATCTTTTTACATCTTTGGTTCAAACCGAGAACTTCTGATCATCAACATATCAGGATGGCTTTCTGTCCTTCACTTATCCTAACGTCAGCCCGGAGTTTATCAGGCTAGCTGTCAGCATGAGCCCGTGACAGAGGCGGAGTTTGGAGCAACTGACCAATCAGAAAAACAGACAGGTTTCTTGATAGCAGAGCAGCTGACTTTACAAAAAAAGATAAAACTGTAATTTTGAGAAAATGTGACGACAGAGTAGACTAGAAGCAACATCTGTGAAACATCTGTAGCGTATGTTAGGTATACAGAATGATTGTCACACTTAAATGTTTCAGAACATCAAACAAATGTAAATGTCAGACAAACTCGAGTAAACACAAAATGCAGTTTCTAAATGAAACTGTTTGTTATTAAGGAGTAAAAAGGTGAAACCAAAGCTGACCAAAAACAACACAAAGTCTAGCCTCAAACATCTCGATGATCCCGAAGACTTCTGGGAAAATACTCGGGGCTGATGAGACAAAAGTTGAACTTTTTGGAAAGTTTGAGCCTCTGTGGCGTAAAAGTAGCAGCATCTCAGGAAAGGAACATGATAGCAGCTGTAGGGTATGGTGGTGGTAGTGAGACGGTCTGGGGCTGTGTCGCTGCCTCAGGACCTGAAGACATCTACTAAAACCTCCTGAAGGAGAATGTCTGGACATGTGTTCATGACTTGGGTTCTGCAGCAGGACAATGATCCCGAACACGGCAGCAAGTCCACCTCTGACTGGCTTTAGAAAAACTAAAGGCTTTGGGCTAGTGGAGTGGGCTAGTCGAAGTCATGACCTGAGTCAGACTGAGATGTTGTGGCATGACCCTAAAAAGCCAGTTCATGCTCAAACTAGGGGTGGGCAGTATAAACGGTATAAATTTGGCCAACGGTAGAGATTTTGACTATACCGCTATAGCGCATGTTGATGGTGTCATCAAGCTGCGCCTGTTTTGGTCGAAAGCATCGCAGCGGCTGCAAACATCATCTGCAATGTTTATGCCGGGCGACAGTAATAGCAAAGAAACGAAGCACTTTTGGAAGATGGGGAAAGCCAAAACCTGCGCTTCCTCCACTTCTGTACCATTGATTCATTAATGTTGAATTCTCTGGCAGCTGCTCTATTCCCATGTTGTTGCAGTATATGAATGACTAACCTCATATTGTGGATGGATTATCTCAGTTGTTCTCCTGACTGAAGTTTGGTCCATTTACAGCATCCTGCTATGTGATTGCATTTGTCTCTAACCATCAGGAACCCTCATGTTAACCCCTTAGCAGTCCAATTAGTCCCCTAAACCATCCAATGTCCCGTGGGCGGTACGTCCGACTGCTAACAGGTTAACTATTATCGAAAGTTAGCGTTCATCCTCCAGCTTCACTGTGTTTATGTTATGCTAACATAGCTGTGTCGCTAGCCACACGTAGCACATCATTATATAGCAGCTAGCACAACTTCAGTAACCCTACAAACGTCACTGCTGTTTAGTTTTGTCTTCATCTATGTTGGAAGTGACAGCAGAGCTGTACGTTTGAATGCATGTAACAGGCATCTCCGAAAACGTGAGAGCACTTTTGCAAATATGTGATGTTTTGATGAACCGAGCAGATATTAGAAGTTTACACAGAAACATTCTCGCATGAAAATATCTTAAAAGTTTATTTTGTGACTCAGAGTAATATTTCAAACTCCGCCCCTCTGTGTTCCTCCGCCACTGCCTCGTTTGAGTTTTGGATGAAATGGATTCTGGGATATTGCATTTCGTCATTTCGAGCTGATTGGAGACCAGAACAGCCAATCAGATTTTTTTGCATCCAAGTCTGTGATTGGCTGGTTTTGTGGCACAAATATAACGGTGTAGAGAAAGAGTTGAGCGTGCGCGGGCAGAAATGTTGCGAGGAAGCGCAAATGCAAAAACTGAGCGAGAGGGGCTGGAGTGAGTGTGTGTGTGTGGTGTGTGTGTGAGTGTGTGTGTGTGTTTGGATAATAGCAAACACTGAAATACAGTTTTTGCACGCAGGAATGAGTTTTGTTCACTCAAATTCGGCTTTTCTTTGCACCAAATAAATTTCTCGTCAAAATGCAACACTTGCACCTGTGTGTCTAATAGTGAGTAATATACGTTATACAGAAGAAAAGAATATATCGCGATATATATCGTTACCGCACATGCTTCAAATTATGCCGTGATATGGATTCTAGGCCGTATCGCCCAGCCCTAGCTCAAACCCTCCAACAATTCTGACGGGTGGGCCAGAATCCCTCCACAGCTGGAAAAGACTCACTGACGGTTATCACAGATGCTTGAAGGCAGTTGTTGTTGCTAAGGGGCACCCAGCCAGTTATTAGGTTTAGGCACGTTTCCTTTGATAAACCTTTCAGGGAGTTTTTTGGGTAAATCATTCTGATTTCTGGCCGTCACAGATGAGACTGTACATGTTGGTCTGCAGACTGAATCAAAAGGTTTTAAGCTGTCAGTGACTCCGTTTGTGGTTGAAATCTTCTCTGATGTGTCCTCATTGTTTAGTAAAGCACTGAGCGTGTCCTCTGTGTCCTCAGGAACGGCCAGTCTTTGGGGACGGCCTTCACCAACATTAAGATGGGTCCTGGCATCGCTTACTTTCCCGCCATCAGCCTCTCCTTTAAAGAGTCAGTGGCTTTCAACTTCGGCAGCAGGCCCCTCAGATATCCTTCACAACTAATCGCAAAGTGTCCAGAAGCCCTGCCGGCAGGTGTTAGCGCCACTCCCCTGGGAGCTATCAGGGCCATACGTTTGCATGGTGGAGTCATGGACGGCACAGAGAAGCTTCTACAGGCGTAGGATTTCAAACTGAGCTCTTTTTAACTAAGCTGGTCTCATTTTATTTTTTCAGCATCCATCTGAAAAATGCTGTTTGGCTTTATGGGTTTGTACAACTCTTTTGCTGTGAAAGATTTCCCTGGAACATCTGTAAATGGAGAGTCCTCTTCACACACTGAGGTTAATTATGGAGTTCCACAGGGTTCAGTGCTAGGACCAATTCTGTTTACATTATACATGCTTCCCTTAGGCAGCATCATTAGAAGACATAGCATACATTTACACTGCTATGCAGATGACACCCAGCTCTATCTGTCCATGAAGCCAGATAACACACACCAATGAGTTGAATTCGATTGAATAAATGCTGCTGTGGTGTCATGAGTTTGTCTTTAACCCGACTGTGACCCACGTACCCCGTGGACGGCTACCTGCCCCTCCAGAACCCTCCAGCTGCAGACCTGATGAAGGCCCACAAACTGCTGGGCTACATCAAGAACGTCCTGTCCACCGCCATCGACGCTCAGGTAGGAACACGAGCAGGTGAAAATGGCATTGCCTGTCTTCAGCCTGGTGTTTGGTTGACGTGCAGGTAAAGTGAAAGGTGCGTCCTTTGTCTGTCCTTTACTGCTGCAGGAGGAGAGGCTGGTGGAGAAGGACTGCGCCGTGTGGAGGCTTCACGGAGAGCCGACCGTCCTCGTCACTCTGGCTCACATCTTTAACCACTTTGCTCCACTCATGGTGAAACATGCTGTGTTTGTAGCTTTTTTCCTTTATTGCATGAAGCGTCAGGAAACTAAAAACCAACCAAAGATACCGATGTGAGGCTAACAGGGCGTGTTCAGAGATCGCTAAAACTGACCGCTGCTCTGTTATTAACTGAATAATCAAAGTGCTTAAACAGCGCTGTGGTTAAAACGAGGCTGCTCCTGTCGTCCGTGTTTCTGGATCAGGACTTTTCCACCAGAGTCGGTTTTTAGAGTTCGTTTTTATTATCAGACGTTGTCACTCGTATTTAAATACACGGAGAAGAGACGACAGGGAAAAGCATAAACTACGTCGGCTCGCTTCCTGTCGTGGTTCATACGAAGCATAAAGTTTCTAATAATGAGCTGAGTGTCACTCAGACTGTTTCTCATGATCCTGCTGTGAGGCTGAGACACAACAAACAGAAGCAGATTATTCAGCTGGATTTTATATCCAGCATCAGAGCTGTAACTGTAAAGTTTAAAAGAACAGACTGCATGCAGCCACATGAACAGGAAGTGTGGTTTGTATGTTTCTGAAGGCTTCACTGAAGCAAACTGGAGATGGCCTTTGTTTTAGTTCCCAGACTTCTCGTGCACCGTGCTCTGCAGCTAATTAAATCCATCCACAGTGGAAACTAAATCCTCTGTTTGGGGCGCTGTTTGTGCAGGCGATGCGTTTGAATGGATGAAATCACCTCTGTCTGAAAATGTGATGTCATCAGGTCACGTGCACTGATGGTGGGGTTGTCTGGTTGCAGTGTAAGGTGTATCTGGTGGAGGACGTGCTGATGAACTTCCTGCTGGGGATTCTGGAGGGAGGAGGTTCGGTGGACGAACACCCGCTCATCCAGCAGCTGCTCGACCTCTTCTGGCTGCTGATGGAGGTAAATCTGCACGCTCGGCTCACTGCTCCAACCATGGCGCCCCACCCGCCACCGCAGGCCTAAACCCAAAAACTGGACTGTGCGTCCACAGGGTAACAGCAAATATGCACAGAAATACAAGACGTGTAAACAGAAGAAGCAGGACGCGCTCAGGTTCAGGGACGTCATTTAAAGTTGCTGCATTTATACCTGGCCTTGTGGACCGTCACCTTAACACCTGTTTACCTCATTGTTGCAGCTCCGCCTCGTGTCCGACTGTACAGGTGCGTTTTCATCATGACTTCCTGTTTCGAGCTAAAGTCACACAAAAACATGAAACGCAGGTTTTTACTGTCAAATCATTTAAAAATGTTACATTTCCAGAACGGTCTGATCAGCTGGTCGCTGTTGATGATCTGTGGTAAAGCTCCACTTCGGTTATTAAAAGCACGCATCACGACCTTTAGAATACCTTTTGACGAGGGTCGGTGTACGCGCACACCTGTCCGTCCAGGTGTTTCTTTCCTGAGACAGTTTCATGTTTTCTTCAGTGCGAACTCCCCCGCCTTCCATTTTACTGTGTCCGTTCATCAAGCAGCTCGGATTGATGCGGCCGCACAAACACTCGATCAGCATCTTTTATTTATTCCTGTTGTGTCAGCCAATGAGGAGAAAGCTTCATCACCTGCAGGTTGGGCTGAAAGCTCCTCTTGGTTAGTGACCTCAAAAAGAGGGAGACGCATCCTGCTGTACACCATCTCCTCACAGGAGGCGGCCCTGGGTTTGCATCGCCCCGTCATGTGTCCAAAACTCAAGATGGTTTTTTCTTTTTTATGGTCCGTCGACCCACTTTCAGGCCTTTTTGCCTTTTTCACGAATAGTTCACAAACCTTTAAAGACAACAGGCTGAAATTTTCTTCATATCAAGATGAATCTGTAACTTGGGACAGATGCATAAAAACATCTTAGAGTGGATGCTCTCCTGCAGAGTTCCACATCTGAGGATGCATGAATAAAAACTAATGACGGCATGGATGACGTGTGGTTGTTAAAAGGTTAATTCAACTTTCATGTTGCTCCACAGAAACAAAAACATCAGCACTTTGTTCAATAATAGCAAGTTAATAATAATACAATGTTCTGGAGTATTGCACAGTACTTTCACCTCCTGTAGGAAGTGTCGGAGCTGCCCAGGACACCACCTCCAGGAGGCCAGCGCCTCAGCTGCCTCCCTTCAATGTGGAGACGTAGCTGCTCCACTCAGGGCGCCTCCTGAACGGCTGAGCTCCGCCCTGTCCCACTAAGGGGAGCCCGGCTGTCAAACAAAGCTCATCTCCACTGTGAGCTTGAAGGGTTGCTCCATCTTGGGGTATTAAGGTTCAATTAAAATGTTAACGGTTGGGTTAAATGATTAGTGACCATAGCAACGTCGACTGGTCACACACGTCCGTGTGGGTGTTTCTGCTCCAACCGCTGCCTCTGAGGCAGAAACCCTGTGAATGTTTTGAGCACGTGTAGTGCCGACAGTTCATGCTGAGCTCATAAATAAAAGTGACAGCATGCTGAACATGTGTACAGATCTCCTAATAGCTGATGGTTGGTTTATTTACCGCCTCACGGTGGCACCCAGACTCCACAGAGGAGGACCTGGAGGTTCAAACAAGGAGGCGACGGTTAAAAGCACTCGTTTAAATTGGTGATATTTACTGCAGAGCGTCAGCATCAGGATGTTTTTCTGGAGTACCACAGCCTGAAACCTCTCTGTCCTCTGCTGTCCTCTCTGTCCTCTTCTGTCCTCTGCTGTCCTCTTCTGTCCTCTGCTGTCCTCTCTGTCCTCTTCTGTCCTCTGCGTCCATCTGCTGTCCTCTGCGTTCATCTGCTGTCCTCTGC